ACGAACGAATACTGTAAGTCGTCGAACCAAAAAGTAAAAAAAAAATAATAATTTGCCTATCCAAATAGAGCTATTTTTGATTGCCAATCCCTAATACTGTGTTCCATAAGCCCATTTAGTACAAAATTAAGCCATAAAAACTCTCCCCACGAACCCTAACAGGGTTTTTATTACGGGCCGTCAACCGAGGCTTTGTCGTCACCTTGGTTCGGACCCCTCCGTTGGACACGTCGGACCCTTTGTCGGCAATTTTCTGGCGCAACCGCTGGGTGGAATTGCCACTTTGAAGAGGGATTCGAAGGCAGTGTTTGATATATCATTGTCCCTTGTGCATGAAGCTGAAAAATAAATATGATATGTTAGGCATGGCAATGTGTAATGTTAGATGGTGTAATATGAAATAATATTTGTTTTAATTTAAGGTCCCCGATGGGGCGGGGGGGGGGCTAATGTCCCTGACGAGAAAAAAATGGGCGTGGTAGGGCGTCGCTAAAGATCCTTTCGAAAGTGGTCCAAGGGACGTAGCACCCCGAAAATATGACAATTTAGGGGTTTCAAAGGCTTATTTAATCGATTTTAGAGTCTAATTATAATGTACAAAATACATATAATTTTTTTGATTTTTTTTCCCTCCCCAACCAATTGTGGTTTCCCTCCCCGACGAGGGAGGGGGTGGCAAGGCTTCCCCGACGGGGGGGACTGTAGCCCTGCCTAGACCCCCTCCCCCCGCGTCGCCATTGTATATCATTAAACCCATTATTATATGCATTTATATGTCAAAGAACTGAATTGAAATAAATTGAATTGATGACATAAACGAATGATGAATCTTTCAGAGTGCCAATATATCAACGCAGGCATCACAGTTTATGCGTCCTTACTTTGTCACGGGAAACGATTACGATGTGAGTAAAAATATTTCAAATTGTGTTAGGAATACAATATGTGATACTCTTGTCTATAATAATGCCTTCATAGAACTGTAATTTAAGCAAAGTGTATATGAAAGAGAAGAGAATCTCTCGTTTGTAAGTCACCATAAAAGTGCGCCCGCTATACTCTGATTGGCAGATGGACGTGCACCCTCACGTTAGATAATGGCATTGTTTCTAAAAATGCTATCGCCCTCTACCAAAAAAAATGGAAAAGTGCTTATTGGAAAAATGTTGCTACCATGCATCAAGCCTCAGTGTAAAGCTCGTTCGAATTCATTACCTCTTGAAGGAAGAAAGGAATCATGGTCAGCCTAAAATTTATAGACATGCTTATTATGAAATTGTGGTGTGAAAAAGAATATTGTCATTTCATACTGAAAATGTAACAGATTAAAATATACTAGATAACCTATATTAAGAAAACTTACACCACAATAATTTAAATATACCTTTGGGACTTATTTACTGCAGGCTCTCTTGAACTTTATTATCACCTATGGTATATAT